CAATTATACTTTTTGCAAGTTTTATTACAACGATGAAACAATGTACGTTTAGCAATAGCAAGCAAATCCAAGTGAAACTTTTCAATAAAATTAGATAATTTGAGATCTGGAATAGGAAAAAAAGATGGATGCATACATTTTTCTTCAATAAACTTTAGAGCTTTATATTCTGCCTCTAACATTTCATCAGTTAAAATATTATTATTAGTAAGAAGATAACTAACATTTTCTCGAATAATATCACTAACATATAGCAATAAACGTTGACTAAATTCATTATCATCTTTGAGTCTTTTATGTATTTCAATTGGATTTAATGATCCATGAAGCCAGATAAGTAAATGACAGTGAGGAGTGCCATGATCTTGATATTCAACAACTCCATAATAATTTTTTATTAAGCCAATTACACCATCTTTTTTTTTATTATATCCAATAATAGTACTTAAAATAGATTGAATTACAATATCAAAATATTTAGATACAGCAGAAGGATCAAGATGTGAAAGTCGAGCACATTCAGAAGCTTTTGGAAAGTTTTTAGAAGAAAGTGAATTAATATCAAATTCTTTACCAGCATACATCATTACTATAGAACTATGAAGATCAGCAGAATTAATCGTAATAAATAATGAAGGCATATCATCTCTAAGCATTGATGCAAATATTTCATTACGCATATGAAGTCATGATTAATAAGAAGCCATTAATTTTGAGCCAACAGCATTAATATTTCTAAGTAATTCAAGAATTGCAGCATTTGTTATAGTTTCACTATTCTGTTCTTGTTCAATTGCATTTTTTATATCTTCAGAGGTAATAGATGTAATTAAATTAGCTGATTGTTTAAAATTTATATTTTTAGATAGACTATAAGTTTCAGAAGATACTTCTTGTCATTGAAGAATATTAAAAGCAACAAAAATAAATGATCTATGTTGGCGAAATTTAGGATCATAGTGGCATATAAGGTGATTTAAATATTCTTTTAAAGATATATGAAGAATGCGACCTTCATGATCTCCAATACCATAAGGAAAAAGTACAGAAAATGCAGCAGGAAAAAGAAAATTATCTTTATATTTATTTAAAGGATTATGACTATGTGGTACATATATTAATGGATGTTTTGAAGAATTTGCTTTATTTTCATTATAATTGTTAACTACAGAGGTAGTAGATGTTTGACAATTAATATTTTTATTTGATTCATCTAAAAGTTTTTGAATAGCAAGCAGTGCAAGTTTATTTTCTGATATAGGAACATTGTTAGTATGTAAAATGCCAGAAGATCTAAGTTCAGATATTCCACTAGTTAAATCATCATCACTATCATCAGATTCATCACAATTAAATGGATCTTGAACATAACTAATATAATGTTCAACTTCTTGTGGGTCAAGATTAACATGTGTAATTATTAAAAGTAAAGAATCAGGTATTTCTCCTTCAGGAAATGCATTTAAATTTGTTTTATCAAATTTGAAATCTTTAAATAAGATATTATGGTTAAAAAGCTAATGAAGTGCTATAGCAATTCTGCTTTTTCAAACCTGAAGTACTTTTTTAAGATGATAATCATTAGGATTTCCCTGTCCAACAAACATAATTTTTATATATTCACATAAACGATAAATTGGTAATGGTAAAACTTTTGTTAATGAAGCTGGGTTTTGAGATAATGTGATTATATGTCCTTTGAGCTTGTGATGTGTATGTTTTTTATTTGTTAATTGAATAATATTCATACATGTATATGCAGGGGAAATTAGAATTTGTTTAGGAATAGTTAAACCTTGAAGGCAAGTAGGAGTGGAACCAAACCACATATTATTTGCTAATGAAAGTGGTGGTGTTTTACCTTTTTGCAAAAAAGTAAGACAGCTTTTACAAATTCGCAAGTTGAAAGGATTATCAATATTTGCAAGATGTATATTATTCTGATTAGAAGGTACAAATCCATTACGATCAAGTAGAACTTTAAACCCAGTTGAGTCAATGCAAGGATGATCATAGCAAAAATTAATTTCAAAAGATGGTTCAGTAAGCTGCTGGGGTGCTCTAATTAATGAAAGATCTATCTCATTTACTTGAATTACTTTGAAGTCTTTGTTGCAACATAGTTTTGAACAGATTGCACAAGGCATCTCTCGTAAATTATTTAAGCTGACTTTATCACGAAACTTAGCCAAAGCATCTTTTGATACATCTGGTTCAATTAAGTATGGCCAATCAGAATGATCTTCTAATAATTTAGTAAAACTTTCATCCATTTCTAAAACACGCAAAGGGACATTAAGATGTTCAGCTTGATGATCTCTGGTAAGACGGTTAAGCATTCTTTCTTGTTTACGATAAGCTTTTTTTTGATTATTTTCTAGAGTTCTAAATTTTTTACACTGACGTTTTGATTTTGCATGTTCACGGTGTTTCCTTTTTCTTGCTTCTCCTGTTGTTTCAATAGTAGTCATTTTAATTAAAAAAAGTGACAAAAATAGAATGAACAACTGATCAGTTTTATCAAGTACGTATTAAAATTGAAATAGGTTTAATCTATAGAAAGCTATATAATTATTTCGGGCAAAATAATTTATACGAACATATTTAATATTAGATGGCTAAAAATTTAGCAGAATCAGTGAGCCGTTTTAATTATAGGAAACAGTGAATTATTAAGATCAATAAGATGTATTGAATTATGTATAAGGAATAGCAAGATGTACGGAGCTATTAGGGTGGATCTTATATTGATCAGAAATTTAAAGTATTGTTAACTTATAAACTAAAGTGATTTTTTCACGACTATTAATTTTATTAGAAAAGCGTTTTACAAAATATAGTATTAATAGAAAAAATAATGCTAATTCTGATTAAATTTTTTTATATATTATCAACAAAAAATTAATCTTATGTAACTTATATAAGCCGTATTGTAATTTTTATATAATATTATTATAGTTGATTACTTTAAAGAATTATTATATTATGGAATATGATTAGAAGGTAGAACATTCATACATTTCATCAAATAATTCACTTTAAATTAATAAACTTAATTGCTTTTTCTATCATATACAGTGGCTATGTTCTATTTAGAAGCATTTAATTCTTAAAAAATACAACTTTATACATTTAACTAATATCTTTTGTCTTTGTACGGTATAAAATAAACAGCCTTTTTTTAACATGATTGTGGTTTTATAATTGAAATTTATAAATAGGATACGATTTGGAAGAAAGAAGCAACATAGAATATAAGAAAACATGATTATTAGAAAAGTTGCAGTATTGTATACGTATTAGAATGTGAAACCTAATCAGGTTTTGATCTACACACAGATTAAAAAAAAGTATAACAACTGATTTCATATTAGCTTTATTTGGCAATTAATTCAAGCATTTATTTTGATTATCTGAAAAAAAAAGATCATCAAAAGCATTCAAGAATTTTACTCGTCAGATTAGAATAATAATAGGCATTTTGTTTGCAAGTAAGAATAAATAAATGTAATCGAGTATATAGTTTAAATAATAGAGGATATGAAGTTATTAAATTATCCAAATATATAATTAAATTAAAAACAAGTTTGAGCAACATAATTAAATACTATTTATTTCTTAATTTAATATGACAATGGAGACAACGAACTTAATTTCATATGACAATGAAGACAACGAAATAAATTTTTTGATTATTGATTAGTGTAAGATTACAGAATATTAAAGGCTACCATGTTGCAATACAGGAAATGAGATCTAGTAAATGTAAATTTCTGTATAATACCAGATGTTAAAGTACTATACTGATCATATATGTATAATCTCATATAAAAATTGAATACGTATATAAAAATTTTTTGTAACAATCAAGATAATTTATAGTAAAATACTTGAATTTGATCAAAATTAGTAATTTTATTAAAATTTCCTAAAAAATTATTATATTGGTTTAAATACCGGTACATATGTTATTGAGTAATTGTATAAAATTTTATACAAAAAATTTATGTATTCGAATTTTATATAAGACTATTCATATATTTGATTCACAGGTATATAAGAAACCCAATATATATATAATATGAATTGTTGTTATTTTCAGCAGATAGATGAATCAGGATTAGCAATGATATTAACAATCAGATATAATATTAATATTATATTGTTATAGATTATATACACACGTAATCAAAAAATAAATAATTTTAACAAAAACTAACAAAACATTATTAATAATGAATAATAAAGCTAACTTACTGAAAAAAATTATGTATTTAAGGCTTACTGATTATCGTGCTTTTCAAATTACTGTAACCAGCAAATTTCATGTTTCACATCAGGAATCAGTAACCTGAAAAAAATGCCAATATATGATTGGGTAAAAGTTATTTGATTTATTTTTTGGCCAATTACATACTAGCATTTTTTTTAGATTTTTGATTCCCGGTGTGATGTATGAAATTTGTTGATCAGTAATTTGAAAAGCACTATAAAATTGATAACAAAAGTTGATTAAACATCTAAAAAGTTTTTTTTTTTTTTTTACAATCATACCGAGCTTTATAATAAAAACATTCGATATAAAAATGCCAAACCATGTTTTACTTATTGTTGTTATAATAACTGTAAAGAATAGTCGCTACTGTTCTCATGGCACTGCCAAGTATAAACTATCAAATGAAGGGTCACAAACCATCAGGTGGAAATATTTCATTCATACTGATACATTATCTCAAGAGTTTGCACCTGGAAACATCATATTTATTTCAGGTAAATATGTTGTTGAGAATGCTGAACCATGTATGACAGTAGCCTATGCAAGTACTATCAATACCGGAAAGCCAGAGCATGAATTCAACATTCATGATGTTTCAATATGTGATCCACATGGTATGTTTTATGTGAGTGTTATTCGTATTCCGAAGGATAAAGAAGACTTTATTTATTTTGGCGCAGAATGTAATGAATACAATTCGGTAACAGGATCATCTAATATCAAAATGGATATAACCATTCTTTATCCATCAAAATCTACGCGATTCAAATATTTAGGGCTTTTGGGAGCTAATATCAAATCAGGAAACAAGTATATCATATCAGGGTTTGTTAAATTTTCAGATTCTGGTAAGATGATCGAAGCAACAGATATAGATTATGTAAAAAGCGCAGAGTTTAATTACAATATAGCCGAAAGTTTCTCTTAACAAAATCAAATACACGGTCAATCATCGATGTCATTGCTGATGACATTGAGTCACAATCAACAAAAGATGATAAACCAGTTTATTCTGGAGCGCATAACAATAACACAGCTTCTAATTCATATGAGACGTTAAAAAATAGGGCTACAGTTACAATAGAAGATGAACACAAATCATTTACTGAAGCAGAAAATAATCATCAAGAAAATCAATCTGATCAAGATAAGGACAAAAGTGTAAAACATTCAGAGGATGAAGAAAATACCCAAGACGAAGAACAAGAAACTCTTCAACCAAAAAAAAGAAAGAGAAGCACTAGATTAACTAAGAAAGAAAAAGGAAAAGGTGTAAGAAAATAAAAAATGAGTAAAAGTATAATCTAGTTTTTTTTAGATTTAAACTTATATGTAATTTGATTACAAAACGGAATGAAAAATAAAAAATATCAGTATTTAAGTGCGTCTACGTATATAAAAATAAATAAATAAATAAGTTTATATCGTCTTTATAATCAAAATAAAATTTACATACGATAAATAAGTTATGTAATAAAAATATAATGCTCTTAAATAAAAAAAAAATAAATATTCAAAATCAAAATTAAAACGCATGTTGAATTTCAAGGCTGCTAGTCCACACAGCAGATGACATATATAATATTTTTCGTTAATCACAGAAACCAGCACACTGATATTATTTTGGTAATACGAAGATAGAAAATTTTATTATTGCGGCTTGCAAAATTATGTGAAATATGAAGATCATTAAAAAAAAAAGTAATCACTGATTTTTGATTACTGATTTCCGATTTCTTCATTTTTTTTTGACGTTTAGACTTGACAAAATTTGTGCATTTATTATTTGTAAAAATTTGATTGAATATTTTAATTCGCAACTCCTATTTCTACAAATATTTCCATAAAATAATAAAATTTTTACAAAATAATAACTGCACAAACTAAAAGTCAAAAAAAAAAATGCTGCAGAAAGCGGAAATCAGTAATCAGAAATCGTGATTAATTTTTTTTTTAATGATCTTCAAATTTCACATAATTTTGCAAACCGCAATAAATCAAGATAATAATAATCAATAATCACGATTTCTTCATGCATAAATACACAATCTAGCACAGCATGCACACATTAAAAAAATAAAAAAATTCAAGTCGATGCGTTACACAAATACAGCAGAGTAACATGTGAAAATACAGGTACTAAATGACCAATAAAAAGCAAGAATTTGCTCACACCATTCTAGATGGCGGTTAACCATACACTCCGTAATGCAAGCATGACTACGTTCCTGGTATACGGAATAATAATAGGAGTACAGAGATAATAAGAAAACTAATAATAACTATAATAACTATATGTAATAAAATATGTTAGAAGTAATTATTTATCTGATATTTCATCATATATATATATTTTTGCCTCAGATTAATGCATGCGTCAAATACAGGGTTGTCAATGGTAAACCTACCGAGGTAGGTTTCCGTAATAAATTACTGGTAAGTTGCCATGAATCTTTGGTGGTAATATGTCAAATGCTTGCAACCATTTTGGAAATGTTCGATATAAAACATGGATAAAATACAAGTTACTGTCACCGATAACATAATTTACCATAAATTACCGTAATTTTACAACCTGGTTAAATGTCGCACTGTCTTGAGATAGGCTAGAGTTAAGGCCAGGATTAGGCTATAGATCAGGGTTATCGGTGGTAAACTTAACGTGGTAAGTTACTGTGGCAAATTAGCGGTAAGTTGGCATGAATTTTT